TATATATATATATACTCTCAAAGGGACAAAAGCAAGCAATGAAGTGTTGTACAGTTGTACGTAATTTATCGTATGTCTGTGAATGTCTATATGTATGCATGTATAATTCTGGTGGCGCCGACCTTAGAGTCACATTTACCACGCAGCCACACTCTCCCCAAAGCTCAATAATAATATACTTTTTTGTTTCGTAAAATGTGTTATACGGCGCTCGCAACTGCATAAGGTCGTATGAGCGCGCGTGATACCTTTTCAGTTGGTAGGATATTTAGAATTTTGCCCGGGTGGCGGCCGAAGCCTGCTCTTATCGATTTTAGACCACCAAAGGATCTTTAACGTGCGCAACTTGTACACGGGCCCTCCGAGGTGTTTCGCCCTTGTCCGAGATGTCTAGGTGTAGATCTTTCTTACCAGAAGATCAGGGGTGTGGCTGAAAGACAGCAGTAAGGGGCCAAGGAGTAGCAGTAGGAAGGCTGCAGAAAGAGTCAGGAGCCCAGAGGAGGGGGGCAGAGGAGATGAGGGGGTGGGGGCAGAAAGAGGAGACGAAAGCAGACGACAGAACTTTGCTAGAGGAGGTGAAAGGAGACAATTTTAAAGAACATGTTTCTGTCGCCACCCGGATTCGTACTCGGGACCTTTGAATGAGAGGCCAACAACATAACCACGAGAGCCCCCAACATACTTTGAACGAAAGTAGCATTCAGTATTGCGAAGAACATGACATAGCACGATTTTTTAAATGATTTTGAAATCAAATGGTAGGTTTCAATCGCTGTGTATCGTTATAATATACCCCAGGGCTGTATGCCCGTCTTTGCTCTGGGAGGTTGTGGCAATAAACGACTCTTATTTATAATAATCTATAGTCGCTTCACTTTATTGTAAATACGTTTGAAGCAAGATTTCTGAGCAACCACTTGTTAGATTTTAAGCAAATTTTGAGTGATGTTTTGATCTATTTGCACCTTCGACTTTATAATAATGCATCTTAGGTGACTATTTAGTAGTCTTGTTAATTAATTGTACTTTCTCGTTAACACATGCCATGTAGTGTTTACTGTAACAATACAGTCTTGTCTTAACCACCTTTACAAAATAAGCGAAATGTGTGAATTGACGTGTATTGCAGTGAAGTATTCAAACATTACGATGATGAACGGACTATGATAATATTATTATAAACCATTTCTTTTTTTTTCTATTAAATTTAAAACAACAACAAAAAACTAATTACCTTTACTTGGAGTGCACAGAGTACGCTCAGTCTTTGCCCTTTGACTTGGGACTATGAGCTTGTGTCCACCAATCCTTGTCTGCCCTCTGTGCAGAAGTCAGATGTTGTGTAAAGCTCTGTCATCTTTGTTTTTTTGTTTGGTCAGGGTGTTTTCGTTTGTGTCCTTGCGTGTGCCCGAGAGAGGGCGAGCTGTTCAAACATGTCCCGGCAGGTGAACGGGGAGGTCGGTGTAATGCCCGTGTAAATATAACACACATGTCCTAAGGTGAAGAACGGACTGGGACATCTGCTCAAGCCTCGGTTCAGAAACTCGCCTCTGTGTTTCCTGCTGCTGCTTCTGGTATGTCGGGCTTCCTGTTTGTTGCTTGGGCAACTCTTTTTGTTTGTTTTGTGTTGGTTTTTTTTGTATTTTTGTTTAATTTTTTAAAATTCTTTTTTAGGGGGAAGGGTAAGGTGTTTTGTTTTGGAAAGTTTTTTTTTGTGTTTTGTTTTTGGGTTCCTTTGTTTCTTTCTTGTTCCGACGTGGATTCCTGTTCCCTGGTCATTCTTTTCTCTTGCGCGTTGCGTGTTTGGTCTCGCTTTATTTCCTCCTTACACTTCTTTTTCCCAGTCCCAGTGCCTTTGTTTGCTGCAGCGTTGCGAAAGTAGGGCATGTTTGCTGTTGCTTCAAACTGTTGAAAAGGGCCCCTGTTTTTCGTTGTTGTTGGTGGGGGGAAAGGAGGGGAGGGGGGGGGGGGCTCTCCAGCTTGGTTTGATTATCCTGATATAAAGAACAAAACCGATGATGTTGGGAAGATTGACGAGAATACGAAGAATTTTTTGGTTCGTTTTAATACAGAAAATATATATGTTATGTCGTGGAGGGATTAGGCGCTTGTCAGTGTTTAGGCATACAGAGTTATTTGTATCATGTTTAAGTTTTGTTCGTTTGTCCTGCTTTTGTTGTAAAGATAGCGGGTGGTTGGAGGGCGCCTCTGGTAGGTCCTACTTCTTGACTTTCCCTCTGTTGTTTCTATCTGTCCGTCTTGCTCTTTCCCAACACTAAATG